CCGAAGTGGCGTACGTGAGAATCGTCGCATACCTGATTGAGAGGAGCCTCGACACCTTTCTAGAGATGTTTTGTCATAGGAGAATCTTTTAAGGAGGGTAGTCAAGCCAGATGTAAGCACATCGTGCGGTGCAGAGCCGTCTTCATTTTCGAATTGCGTTCATAGTTAATCTTTGAAAACTCTCGTTCTTTTTCCCTTCGGAGTTTCGAGAGTGATCCTTTGTATTTCTTTGACTTTTTGCAATTCTTTGAAAACTTTTGTTTTTGGTTCGTTGGGAGTTTCCACTTCAAGACTTGCAACCTGATGTATTGATTAAGACGAGCACTTTCGTTTTTCCGTTTGTCTTAAATCGTTCCTTCGATTTTATTTGCTGATGTCATTCGGTCTGGTACTCCATTCATACCCGGATCGGCCTGTCGTGTTTCATTTTTATCGTTGATTATCTATATTCGAGACGCGATCGAGACGAATCAACCAAGGAGGCTTCGTGACAAGATCCAGAAACATGAAAATCTTAGCAGCGTAGCATTTGAGCTCGTTTAGGACTACCGGCACGTTTAGCTACCGGTGAAAGAGCTGACGTGACGGCCGACACTGTTAGTCGGAAGAGTCATGCGAGCTGATCATTTTACAATGAGTAGGAAGCTGAAACTTGGTTATCTTTCTTAGAACTGGGAGGTGAATTTTATGTAAAATTTTCAGAACCTAACTCGTTGATTTGATATACCTTCTAATTCAAGTGTGAATTTTGGAAATTGTTTTCTATAATAAAATTGTTAAGTGTTGTTGACCAAATGTGCTATGTGTTTACTTGTGGCTCGTTTGATTGTCTTTCATTTGTGATTATGTGAACTTGAGTATGTGGTTTGATCGAGTCTAAGTCCTAGAGTTCCCATGTCCACAGAACTTCACGAACCACTTGGTCGACTCGAGTTCGGCTAAGTCAATTTGTGAATTTTCTACTTAGGTCTAGATTAAAGTGTTGACTTTAGTATCTGGACTTATGTAGGTGTCTAGAGGTGTTGCCCTCGCCTCATTTCGAGATTTGTGATTTGAACTGTTGCTGCAATCAGGTGGGTACATTTGTGATGTATTCCATATTTATCGCAATTATTATTTCGTGTAATATTTCTTTTGAAAATTTTTGTATGCATGAGAACTCTAGTCTAAGTGTCCCGAACGCTAGTGCCTTGATGAATGCGAAAGCAGTGGAAGTCGCCTGCCCGTTGTATCCGGGAGGTGGACGCTTGAATCCGTGTAGAGCGGAGGGGTGATTCAACTTCACTGTCTCCTGGAAAGGATCCCATGTACCGTCGTATCCGGGGGTGGGAAGGTTTCCATTTACAGCCATGCCGTCGTATCCGGAAGGTTGTTGTATGTACATAGGAGGTTTGCGATAGGGCCGGGTAGGGGGTTTAGACTATGAATTCTATGCATACCGATTCTGATACTGTTTACTGTAATACTGGTTTTAAAATAATTATACGGGATAACTGTGCGATAATGGTGAGCTAGTTGGTTGCTCACCCCCATTATTTTCTTTGTTGTCTTCTCTCTTCCTTTGTTCTAGGTTGAGACGAGCTGGAGGCGGTGGCGTAGGACGAGCGAGATGGTGGTCATTATGTGTTGAAAACTTATGCTTCCGCATGAACTTGTTATTTACTTATTTGCTATCGTACTTTGGATTATTTATTTCGTCATTTATGAACTATGTTGAATTTCGTATGAACCTTCATTTCATGCTAGTCGTTTGGGAATAATTTTGAAATTTATGATTTTTTTGAGATTGTTATTTTGATAGCTTGAGCATGTGTAGGTTCATTGAATTGATTGATTGGATGTGTTTATTTGTTGTGGTTAGTAAGTAGCGCCCGTTTCTCGATAAATGTTTTAACTTGGATTTTTAAAAAAAAAATAATAACTCTGATTTTTATTAAATAAATTCGGTAAATTCTTTAAAATAAAACGGGGCGTTACACATAATCTCAGTATATATACCTAAAATATAACCCAAGAAAATGGAACATATATTTTATATACATACAAAAAATAACCCATACACATGTTGGTATATGTACTTATATGTACTTATAGATATACATCGTCAGTCAAAATGGATACGCCGTTTTTTTTTCTNTGAACACTCCTGCCATTAGTGGCGGAATCGCGAGCTCTGGCTGCCAATCCCAGTAGCGACAATCGCCGGCAGCGGCTTCACCGTCGAAGACGAGAGATCGAATACGGGCTTCAATCTCCGACAGCGGCTTCACGGCTTCAATCCCAATTTTTTTTTTATTAATAACAGCCGGCCAGCCGCAGCGTCTCTTGGCCGTGCGAATTTCGGCAGACAGACTCAATGGCAACAATGGCGGCGGGAAGTGTTCGGGGACCTTTGTTCCCAGAATATTGAGTTCGAAAACAACAAAACCACTCCAAACGGAGAGGGAGAGAGACGTAGATGAGAGGGGAAGAGAAAGCGAGAGAATTGCGAGAGGGGGGAAGAGAGAGCGAGACAGAGAGGGAGAGAGAGATTATCTTCACCCGTAAAATCAGTAACTCATCTTAATTATCTGAGTATAATTTAAACTGTGGCTACTTAAGTATATTAACAATATTTTAGGCTTAGTTTGGTAATCATATAAATATTTATATAATAGGAATATAATTATAATATAATTACAATGCTGAAGTATGGGGTGTAATTTCCTCTTATAGTTTTATATGTAAATTAGCCAATATTAATTTCCATTAAGGTACACAAGTTATAGTTATGAAATTCAAGGAGGCAAAATCATCAGGTTCTGATGGGCCCAAACTCTGGAATTAATGGGCAAAGACGGAAAAAGATAGCCCAGTAGGAAAGCCCATTGTAATGCAAAGGCTGGATATAACAACAAGCAAACCCTTCCACGGAACAAAATCATACCACATTCTTGATTTTATTTGTAGGCAATTGAGAAGTATCTTCCCCAATTATCATTCTTCTCTTCCTCCCCAACCCTAAATATCCTCTTTAATCAATTCAATGGATCTCGTTGCGATATCAGACCCAATTTCATCCATCGCTTACTCGACACAGTCGTTTGGACTTTCGAATTTCCTCACTCGCCCCTACGACTTCCTATCCCTCCTCGACACGGATCAACCGCCGAGATCGCCGCCGCGATTCCGCATCTCCGCCGATTCGCGCCCCCCTACAAGAACGCTGACCAAGCGAAGGCCGCGCAGGATCCGCCGCGTCCGTCGGAGGATCTCAATCGATTACGACGGCGAGGAGAACGGGATGCTTGTTTTTAGCGATGGAGGTGGTTTCAGCTGCGGCGACGGGTATTTTGGCGGTGGCGGCGGCGGTGGAGACGGCGGAAAAGGGTGGAATTGGGAAGGTTTTTCTGATAACTCTGTACCGAACCCGGCATTTGATTTCGTGTACGGGGTTCTGTGCTGGATCGCATTGTCAAACTGCCTACATTTTGCTTTGAAGAAGGTGGTGAGGCTTGTTGAAGACGGTGGTATCGTTGATCAGGGGAAGGTCCCAATGCGATTGGCTCCTGCAGTTTGTTGAATGGTAAATAAATTTTTTATTTACCGGTTATAAAACAATAGACGGTGGAATTTGGGGGTTGGAGTTGGGGTTGAGAGTTACTGTGGATTTAGAAATAATTGATGTAAATACGTATGAACTTGATTTAATCGTGTAAATATTGGATTTGGGCTCTTCAATTTCGTTTTCGCGTGCTTGTTGGCAAAATTGTTCTGTTGGTGGTGGGTTATAGTTATTTGTACTATTGCAATTCGATTGCCTCATACCGTTTTCAGTGTTTGTTAGGTTTTTCTTTGCATGTGGCTATGATTGTATCCCAAGAAAATTGATGCCTCCACTCTTGTTAGGTTTCTCACCGTTCATGTCATTACAACTTACAAGCTGTGTTTATATTTTGTGACGATGCTGTTGCGCTATTTCTCCAATTATGTGTAATGGGAATTGACAGGGTGATTCTTAACCTTGAGGTGTATTCTTAATAGGGAGGAGGTTACCTAAGGGGGTGATTGGATATAGAATAAATCCAAGATAAAAGTGAGTTATTTTGAATAAAGTAAATTTGAAATTAAATAATATCTAAAAGTAAGAGAGAAATAGGTAATATTATGTGAGTGGATAAATAGTAATTAGAAATCACTTCTTTCTTTTTTTTTCAGTGTAGTAAGGCAAGTTATTGGATGAACAAGATTTCCAAATAGTTCAAAATTAACCCAAATAATTGTGTATTTGGTAGTTGTATTTTTCTAATTCATAATCGCTTGCAATTAACTTACTTATTTTAATTAAAAAATTTGTAATCAAGAAGATAAGTTCCAAGATTCGTAAAAATAAAAATAATTATAAAATGAAAAGTAGGAGGAGTAAAAATCAGAAAAAATAAACATATTAAACATTAAATAAAGGGAAATGTTACATTGCCAACTTAATTTACAACTAGGTTGATAACACAAGTAGAAACATTCATTTGTGTATTTTTTTTTTTTATTTTTTTAAATATTTTCATTTGTGTTGTCAACCTAGTGATACACTAAATTGACAATATATCATTTTCCTTAAATAATAGAAGCCAATTTTTGAATTGGGCCCTGGCATTGGTCCTGGGCCGGTGTCCAAGTCGCATTGGACCAGTGCCAACCCTCTATATATGTATATATATGAGGAATTTGCACCACATACTCCACCATTCAATTTATATAACACTTATATATTCAATTTCTTTTTATTTATATAATTACCAAATCAACCATAAAATATTGCAAATCTACCTAATATGGTTTAAAATCCTTTCAACCGTTATGAAGATATTAACGGGCTAATCAATTATATTGAGATCAATGATGAAGATATTCTTACCAAATAAATCGGAAATATTTCAATCTCTATAAAAAAAAGATCCCCCACCGCCCACCCACGTCCGCACGTCTCTTTCTTTCTGCAAAAACCTCTATCTCGTTCCCGACTACGCTTCAATGGCCAAGACTAAAATACCACGTTCTACTTGGAAAAAACCGTCAAACGTGGCCGACGACACCCCACAAATTAGGTCTAGTTCCCAACTTCGCAAAAGCTCTTCAAAAACAAAAACAAAACTTGTTCGTCGGAGTCTATGGCGTCGCCGGCGGCTACAGTTGTGCACGGCGGAGGGCTGAAGGGCGGACATCATGCGTATGGTGATTGACCGTTGTTGCTCAGCGACGATACGTGTGTTGTGACGTACGACGTACGACGAGAACTCTCGATCTGGCGGTGTGCACGACGATGGCCTAGCGTGGCTCTGCAGAGAGGAAGATGAAGACGAATGTGCTGGGAATAATTTCCGAGGGCTAAGATCTCTCCCAAGTTGGAGATGACAGTATATCTACGGTATATGTACAGTATATGTTCACGGCAGTATATATTGCGTGTGTAGACATGCAGTATATGTGGTGTGTATATGGAGTATATGTTCAATATATTAGATGATTTTTTTTACACTGTTCAATATATGTCATGTGTATATGGAGTATATATATGTTCAGTATATTAGAGGATTTTTTACTTTTTTTTTTAGGGAATATAAGTAACCTGTTATACATGTTTTTCGTTGCAACATATACTGAATATATACTAACATAAACGCAATATATATCACCTGACAGTTGCATGAATTACAATACATGTTTTTATTTTCTCTTACAAGCTGCGCGAACAACATATTTTTTTTTTTATGGAAACGGCTGATTTTTCCTTCCATATCAATGAAGGCAATGTTTTTTTTTTTTTTTTTTTTTTTATGGAAACAGTGGAAATCATGGAAACAGAAAGTGGATGGAGTCCACTTTTTAGGTAACTGAATTTTAGGCATAAATGTAATTGAATCTTGACAATTAGGTAGAGATACAATTACTTCTTAATGGATGATAGATTTGCAAAATTTTTAATTTCATGTAGGATAAGTAAAAATTTCCCTATATATATATAGTCGTTCAAAGGAGCATGCCAAAAGATGGAACACCAAATCACCAATAAATAAATAGTAACACTTATTATTCATTACGCACAAAAAGGCCACGATATTATAGTAGTCCCAAAAAGCCTTCAAATGAAAACCTATCTATATGTATATGTATATATATAGATATATAGAATTTGTTATTCAATCTTGAAGTAGTAAATTTTGGTAGTAAAAGATACTAATTCATATCCAATATTTCCTTCGGGCTTCCGTTATCACGTGCCCTCCATATATTTTCGCGGCCTGGTTGCTATCAATCACGGGCCCTGCTTCGTATCTTGTGGCCGCATGTTTGCTATCGATACTCTTTGGAGCTGCAAAGCCTCTCCAAACCAGGTGCGAGTTTGGAACAAAGTATTCGTATTTTTGGCTATAAACCGGTGGTGGTTTTGGCCTGTAATACATATCTATGATGGAGAAGCCCTCCTCACCAATCTTCCCAAGATCTTCTCTATTTGCCATTTGAATTTTGTTGGAAAAAACACTAAGGATATTTATTTGCAGGATGCTTAATTAAATTTTAGGTCTTGATGAGACATTTAAGAGCAAAACCATGGGTTTATATAGTGGACAGAATGTCTTTCTATTAGAATCTCTATCCTTTGTTGTGGCTTCAGACAAAAGAACTTTCATGCTGTAGAATTAAATGCAATTTGTAACTTTACTACTGTAAAACGAATATTTTACCTAAGGGGAAATTTTCAATTTGGTGGGAAGCCTTGGAAGAATGGTTTTAGATGAGTATCGAAATAGTATTAACATATCAAAGCAATATTATATGCTAGATGCCATTTGGCCACCTCAAATTCGCTTATAGTATATTACGCAATAAATTGCACTCTTTATTTCTTTACTACTGCAAAGATACGGCAATGATTAATTAGATATTTATAAAATAAATGAAAGCATAACCCGCTTTAGAACCTTATACAACAAGATGGGCTAATCTATAAAAATCTCCCTAGATATTAATTCAAAACGTGTCGAGTCTAAATGACAGACTCGCATGCTTTGAAATACTACATGTCACAAATATTATGCTTTGTATTTAGGTTTGAATGAAAAATTTAAAAATAAAATTGACTTGAAAAGTGTCATAAATAATTTTCCACCATATAATCTCTCTTTCATTACCAAATTTGTTTCCAATTTAAAGATCACACAAATCTTTCTTTCCTTATTTCACTTTTTCATTTAAAAGATTACTTGAATTTAATAATTGAATTAACAATGGATCTTTTATTTGACAATGGATCAGTGTCGAGTTAACAATATTTCTTTTATTTGATAATTGAATTACAATGTTTTATTTGATAATTATTTTTTTATATTACTTTATTTGATAATTGAGTTAACTAACACTATATCTACATTAATTTTTTCTATTATTTTATTTGATAATCGTGTTAACAATGTTTTCAAATATTTGACGAATATATGGTAACAAATTTCTTCCAACTTCAAAATCATCAATTGAATTTGTGACGAGATTCTACCACCATATTCTCATGGATTTCTTCCATTTATTTATTTTGTCTATACTACAACATTAAACTCTTTTACTTTCTTTCTTTAAATTATATTTTTATGCATCTGTGTAGTACACAAGTTTCGTACTAGTCCCCTCTATATATAATTTCAGAATGCGCTGAACATACGCGGCTGGTAACGCAAAACACTCCGATCGGCTTGAAATCAGCTTGCCTCCTTCTTCCTCGCCGGTAGAACGCCGCGTTCCTGCACAGAATTCTCACACCGGAGGGGTTTTCCGGTGAAGAGCTTCCGATGCTTAAGTCAGTATGTGTTTGTTCAATTTTTCAAAGTAAAGAATGGATAAATCGTAGGCTACAAGAAAAGACCCACTCCCATATATATAGGAGTGAGATACCTGCCCTAGGAATTGCCCGGCTTTTGGTGGGCTGTCCTGCCCGTCCGTACACACATAGTGTGCGTGTGTCAGAGATTGTTAGAGGTGGTTTTGGCCACTATCACTTTGCACCAATATATTCTCGCCACGTGTCCCTCCGAGCTGAGGAAGATTATTCTTCTGCGCAAGCCGTTGGGATTTTCTAACGCCATCCACGCGCCTTCTCACGTTCAGGGCACGCTCTAGACTGCACTTCACCCCTTGAGTGCTCGATCTCCTCCCTTTTGATCGATCCTCGACCAGTTCTGCTATTCTGCTCGATCCTCGACCAGTTCTGCTTATTCTGCTGGATCTCCTCCCTTTTGGTCGATCACCCTTCTACCAATTCAGTTTTCTCCACTTCGAGGTTGCTCGACCGATGATACAAACCGGTCTATTCCTCAGGTATATAATATCCCATATCATCTAGTCCCCCCCACTCTGGTCGAGTCTGAATGACTCAATCTAAGAGTGGATTTGAGCTGTCCTCTCCATTCTGTCCATCCTCTCGATCTCCCACTCACACCTGGCCTCTTCTCTCGATCATTTTTTGTTGATGTTGCCGCTTCTCCTCGACCACGTGGTCCATTTTAATGCGCACTATAACTGTTTTTTTATTTTCTTTTATTATCAGCATGATCTCCGCCTGCCACATGTCTCCTCAACTCTGTACTTTTAATCATCGCGCCTCCTCGCGATTTGTGTTGCTTCGTTATCTGCGCCTCTTTAATTTTTTCCACCGTTGGATCTTCTTTTATCCAACGGCCATATCCCCTAACTCTTCACCTTATTCGTTTGTACTCGTATAAATGCGGTACTTAGCCACTTTTTCTGCTTTCCTCACATTTGCAATTTCGAACTCCCTTGCGCTCTGATTTCTCTCTCTGCAAATTTCTCCTTTCTGCACTCGGCCTCTTTTCGAGCAATTTTCGGCAACCACTTCTCTACTGCAACCATGAGTAAGTCTTCTGTGCTTCAATTTTATATTTGCGTGCATTTATTTTTTCAATTTTTGATTTTTCCTGTTACTTCTTCTTTTTCTCAAATCCCTCTCATGTCGTCTATGGCAAAAAGAAAACTCCTTCTTCGCTTTCGAAAACCCTAACTCCATTTCTCTTCCTCTCACTTCTTCGTTCTACTTTTCAGATTCCGCTGACGCTAACTCACCAAGCCACCATTCTGTCGAAGACGAGATCGCCACATCATTTCCCCCTACTCGTCGGCCTATTCCTCACTCGTCTTCCCGTTCCGTCGAAAAAATCTACAATACCGCTCCTATCAGTGTTCTACGCCCTTCCGATTATGCCACACCTTCTCCTCCCCGCCAACCTACTCGTTTGATTGATGAATCGGACGATGATGCCCTTGACCATATCCCTCTCAATCGCCGCCGACCGGCGTTTGGGGCCTCTGATGCCGTTGAAGAGGCTCTTGATGCCGCTGAAGCCACCGCTGAGAAAGACGAAGATGATATTCCCCTTTCTCGCCATTATGTTTTTGCTCGAGCCACCTCTTCCCCTAACCTTAAGAGGGGCGCTTCGAAATCCTCAACTGGTACCACACCATTTGCCTCTTCATCTGTCCCTGTCTCTACCTCTCCTAAGGCTGCCCCTAAGAAGGGTAAGTCAACCAAGGTGTCTACTTCTTCCAAAAAGGCTTCTTCTTCCTCTCGTTTTCTTATAGCTGGCTGGTTAGATGCCGAAGAGATTGGCTATCCGATCAGCTGGGCTTTCGTATCTCCAGGCCCTCGAGACACCTATGACAACCCTTCCAAAAACTACTACACTTTCTTTGAGATCCAATTTAAACTCGGCGTCTGTTTTCCCTTAAGCCGCGATTTGGTCGATCTTTGTAAGTGGTTCGACTTGCCCTTAAACCAACTTCCGCCTAACGCCATCCGTTTTATCACCGTCTTCATCATCCTCTGCCATATCCGTCTAGGCCGGCTCGACCTAGACTTCTTCCATTACTGCTATACACCCTCCAAACATGCTCAGGGGATCTACCTCAAGAGCCGCAACGATGTCCATTTTATTTCAGACACTCCCTCCAATGTCCCCAAGTGGAAAGACAAATTCGCCTTTGTCGAGCCCAAACCCGCTTTTCCTTAGGCGCCATCTCTTTGGCTCAAAGAGCTTCCGCGTGAGTACTCGATACCTTCGACCAACGCGCTCTTCGACCAGTGGATTGCGGTATGGAACAGCAAGCCCGTTGCGTCAAAGGCCTTGCTTGAGGATGAGAGCCTCCTGCATTTTTGTGGGCTTCTTACCCACAAAACATGTCCTCTCCCTAGTAAAAAAAACTTTTGATCTTATCTGGATCGAAGGCGACCCAGGTGTGTATTGTCGCTAAATAAGCTCGAGCACAACTATACATGTCTCACGTATTATGTACTTATTGCGACTTTAACTTGTGCGTAAACTTTTGCAGAGATGCCCGCTATTTCCGTGCCCAGGCGAAAAGATCCTTTGAGGAAGAAACAGGCTGCCGAGGAATCAGACTCAAAGCCTGCTGATTCGACCACTTCACAATCTGTATGCTCGACTTCACCGCCTCCAGAGATGACCGTCGAGCAACCTTCTGTGACTATCCCTCAAGCCGACCAGCCACCCGAGCAACCAGAACAGCTCGAGAGATCCGCCTCTCCTCCGCCGCGGTCTCCTCCGCACGACCAGCCCACTCCAACTATTCATATTCCCGCCTCTCCCGAGAAGGCTATGCTCGAGGAGAATCAACATAAGCGATCCCTTGTTGGAGGGGATGAGAGTGCTGGGAAACGCCGCCATGTCGAGGAGACCGCCCTCTCGATCACCATGTTCGACGGTCCGAGGTTCTCGAATTACCTCAGGGATGTACTTCCCTCCGTCGACCACCCTACCGATCGTTACAATGACGGTCACACCCTTCGAGACCGGGGTGATCGAATTGGCCGATGGCTGGCTCAGGTAACCTACTATAATTTTAGGGTTATCCGTTTTATTTCATTTCTTTCCCTTGTCAGTGCTCTAATACTTTCTTTTATGTGCCCTTGTAGGGCATGGTCGAGCTCGCACCGCCGATCGAGCAGACGTTAGCTAGCCCAGGTCGGTCCATCTCAGCCCTCGAGCGAAGCAATCTCCAGCTTGACACTCGGCTGGATGAGATGGTCGTCAAGGCCAATGCCCATCACGATAAGCTGAAGGAGTCGGCCGCTCGAAATAAGGCTCTCTCCGCCGAGAAGGAGAAGCTCGAGGGGGTCCTGAAATCCTTCAAGGAGGCCCTCGCAGCTGAGTGAGCGGAGAAAGAGGCCCTCCTGACCTCTAAAAAGGCTCTTGAGGCTGCGCTCGAGGAGGAGAGGTTAGCTCGGGCTCGTGAAAACGTTGCTTTCGAGCAGAGAGCTAAGCCCTTGGTCGATGAGGCTGCCCTTCGGGCCCGGCGAATGGTCTTCCACATGACCGTCGGTCGACGTTTCCTTCAGGCTTACCGCGAGCAAGTGGTGGCTGCTTTCAAGCAGTCGCCACAATATTTAAAGGATGTGCAAGATTATGGCACCCATTGCTTTGGGGCTATCATGCAG